TGGCTGGACTCTCTGTCCTCGCTGTTCCAGATGAGGAAACAGGTCTCCCACCGTCAGCAGGACTCAAATCCCTACCTGGAGCACCCCTCAACCCATCTAAGAACCTGGGTGTAGGTCTGTCAGCGGGCGAACCATCGCGCCCTAATCCATCACGCGGACCACCAGGGCGCCATTTTGGAGGTGGCTGTGCGCCAGAAATTTCGTCTCGAGGAGCAGGGGATGGTGCTGCATCACTCCGGCCACGAGGAGCAGTGTCGCCTGGACGACGGGCTGGTGGCACATATCCACCAGTCTTCTTCGGCAATTGAACTTCCTCGGTGGCAATATCTGTCGGTGGAGCGGCAGGTTGAGGGGCACCTCCTGCAGCTTCTGCTTGTTTGCGCGCGGCTTCCCTGTCTCTCCACGTGGGTTTGCTACCGGCAAGGGCAAGCTTTGGAGGCCCTGATGGCCGCTCGGAAGATTCGGTGCGTGCTGGTTCGGCAGGTCGGATAGGCGTTGGGCGTTCTGGAAGACGTGCACCGCTTCTCAGAGCTTTAATCTTAGCTTCTGCCGCCTCTTCTTTCTGGCGTTGAATGGCAGCTTTATCGTCAAGTTCTCTGAAAACGATGTTAGCATGCGTCACGAGCTGGGTAAGGAAGATTCAGAGCTTACCTTCGTTCCGCTTCTCTCTTCGCCCTAGCCTCTGCCAATAGACGCTTCTTCTCTTCTTCGGCAGCTGCCTTTTCCTCGGCTTCTCGGGCAATCTTCTCCTCTTCCTCCTGAGCTCGCCGCTCAGCCTCCTCATGTTCCCTCTGTTCGCGAGCTTTTCGTTCACGCGCTTCACGCTTTCGCTTGTCTACGGCATTCTGGAATTCTCGATCCGCTGCCTTCCTCCGCTTTTCAAATTCATCATGACGACGCTCCTTGAGGTCCTTGTGGAACTGTTCATAAACTGGCAGCAGCCGACTAAGCCGATGCTTGAGCGACACGTCCTCCCTGTGCTTTCGCTCCGACTCCTTCAACGTCTCTGCTTTCGATTGCTCATAAGCAGCAACGTCACGTTCACGTTGTGCCTCGTAGTCTTTTGGCAAAAGCTTGATCTCCTCCTTCCTAAAGGCGCGCTCCAAGTGATCGATTCGCTTTCCGGTGACTCTAAGATTCTTGAAAAGATCGTTCTTTTCCTTCTCAAGTTGAGAGATCCTCAGAAGCCGAAGTTGATTGCTATCGAGATCTTTCACATCGACATCTCCGATGTTGATGCCTTTCTTTACAAGGTCACTGAGCTCTTTCTCATTATTCTCCCGGCGAATGCGATCTTGTTCATCCTTCATACGTTTACGTTCGCGCTCCTTGTGCTCTTCAGCTAATCGCAAAGCCTCGGCTTCCTGGCGCTGTTGAGCAACGATCCGCTTCCGCGTCTCTTCCTCCTTCTGCTTCTTCTGGAGCGCGTCAGAGGCCAGCTCCTTCTTCTTCTCTATGATGGCTCGTCTTGCCAAAGTATCCTGGTGTTCTTGTTCGGCACCGGCTTGCGCTCTCGAGAGTGCTGCAGCCTTAGCCTGTTGCCGAGCCTCGTTATACTCGGGATCAACGTATTGACAGGTGACATAGAGTGTCTTTGCTAAGCGAGTGAGCTGGGAGCGAACGATTTCCGCTGGGGTGCGCTGCAACCGTTGAACGGAACTTGTCTCACTCTCTGCGGAGCCAGAGCCGCTCCCAGGGTGAAGAGCTTTTGCGGACGAGAAGACATCCGAGTCGAAGGTAAGAACGCCAGTAGCATGATCGATCCGGATTGCCAGGTCGCCTTTCTTGCATCCGTTCATGATGAACTTCTCGATGGAGGCAGCGGTTATCTGGAAGGGTTCGGGAAATTGGGCGAGCTGGTGCACATAGCTCAGTTCCACAGACTCATAGACCTGCGACAACTGCTGGAACAACCTCGTCAATATGACTTGCTGTAAAGGCAGCACATATTTCTCCATTTCGGGATCTGCGCCAATTTGTGCGAGGATAGGCGATATCTTTTTACAGATAGATAGAGGGTGAAAGTCGACCTCGAGGATCTGATACAGCTCCCGGATTTCTGATTTGGCGCGCTTCAGGAGTCCTTTGCTCATAGCGTCCTTGAAAAGAACAGCCCTAGTTGGCGCGTGAGACATTCCAAGCAGGTTGGTAAGGCGGTTGTTCTTGTTTTTGCGAGCCTCATCAACGTCAATGAGAGCTCCACGGGAACGAGACGTGCTTATGACGGGGATTGAAAGTGCCGAGAGTAGGACGAATGACGCCGCCCTGCTCATATCCGCTTCCGTTACTGCAGGGTTGTCTTTCTTCAGACTTTGGCCCGAAGCGACCGTGTTCGCAGATTGACGAAGGAGATTGTAGTATCTACTCCAGGAAGCAGCATGGAACAAATAATTCTCGCTGACGAGGAATATTCGAGTAAGCTTCTCATAGTAGTTCGCCATCATGATGTTCTTCGCTGGGCGTTTGCTCAAGCTGAGGAGCGTGTGAATGTCCTCCACGCTGCGGAAAGCTTCTTGCCATAGTTCGAGCTCTACAGCAACGTTAAGTTGCTGGAAACGAGTGTCGAGATGACGCTGCAAGGTATCAGGGTCGCTCAGATTGATCGCATGCATCTGTGACTGGTATTTGGCCGCATTCTGGACATGATTTCGTAGTAGCTCGCACAGTCTTCTGAACTCTGTCTTGCGGGCGAAATGCTGACAAAACGTAAATGCCAGCATAGCTGTAGACTGATACATGACTTCCAGTCGCGCATTGTTCTTCAGAATCTCCAACACAGTACGGTAGGTCTCCCACAGAAATTTCAGCCATGGTGTAACGATCGCTCTGTCTGTTCGGTCTCTGGATTGCTCGCCTGAGACAGTGGATAGTAGTATTGACTCTGGTGTCTCTATAGCCTCGAGATCCTCCACGTTCGCACCGGAAGCGATAGGCTCAAGGATCGACTGGACCTCATCTGCTTTTGCTTGAGCTTCCGTGACCTTGGCCTCTGCGAGTTCAATGAACTTTTTGAGGACGAGCTGGATGCGATCTTAATCAGCTCCGAATGACATGTTGCGAATCAACTTACCTCAATCGTGCCAACATTCGTGTTTTGTGCAGTGTTCTTGTATTGGTAGAGTCCATCTTTCGCTAATTTGCCTTTCTTGAGGTCTACACAGAGCTCAACGAACTGTATCATTACAGGTTCAAGAGAAGTGATTGGGCTATTTCTGGATCTTTTAGACGTGACATGTTCGTGTAAGATAGTGAGAGCAGCTGGAGACTGCTCGACAGCGATGAGTTCTTGTGCTCGCTGGTGTTCACAATATATTAGCCATCCATCACATCGAGTGCAGCTTGGACGGCGGAAAGGAGCGCGCGGATCCATACCTTGAGCACATTCTCGGGTTTCGTATGCGGTGGAGGAGGCATCTTGGGCGGCCTCTCTTGAGTGCTTGACAGAAGTGCAATCTGTTAGGCAGTCAAGAAAGATGTGTATATGCCGTTCGATGATGATGATGATGATGCTGAAGTCTGACCGTTTGCAAGGCACGCTCGGCAAGATCAGATTTTGTGTGGAGGACTTTAGCGGCCCGCTAGTGACTAAGTAGTGCCCATAGGCATGAGCCTTGGAGGCATCCAATTGGCGCACCCACTGACTACCGCAAATTTCAGTGTCACCATTCACCCGTGTGAGAAGAAGAAGAAGAAGAAGAAAAAGAAGAAGAAGAGGAAAAAGAAGAAGAAGAAGAAGCAGCCATCTCTGTGCAAAGAAGAAAATCATCAAGGCGACGCTCAGTATCATTATCAATCATCAGCTACATTTATCGCACCCGATTCTCTCTTATATCTTGAAGCTGCGCCCGGGCAAGCGCCTCAATTGACAAGATGCCAACGGCTTACGAGATCCGCGCTGGGGGAGACGTCAAGAACAAGAAGCAATCCATGGCAGATCTGAAGCTCCGTCGCCTGAATGAGCTCAACTCGCGGCTGAGAGAAGACTTGGAGCGACCCCGGATCAAGGTGTCAGAAGCCTCAATGTCGTGAGTGATGCCTTCCTTTCCTTTTGCGACAGAGTGTGGTCGTCAGCAAAACTAATCATAATCTCTCACCCCAGATTAATACAATACTGCACAAACACAAAGGATTTCATGGTTCCCTCCATGTGGGGCTCGGTGAGTACAAATCAACACCATGCTGTCGTCAATGGCGCGTTGACCATTCGCGACTCTTGGGATAATTTGACTCGCTAACGTCACTCGGCTATCTTCAGGTCGACAAGCGCGAAGATCCATATGCACCACAACAATCAAAAGGCTGTTGCACGATCATGTGAAGCTGGCTTCTTTGCTCGACCTGGCGTTCTACGGTTATTTCGCATCTGTTCTCGATACCATTTTCTCTTCCCACACCTCGACTTCGACAATCCGTCGCACAACGGACCAATTCTCACTGGGCGCCTCACATTAAGCATGGGCATAGGAAAAAGCAAAATCAGGATGGAATCAGTCGTTTGGTGGCCGTCACATCTTTGTCTTACGGAGGGGTCGCATTTGCCTTGGCACCGAAACGTCCATTCTCCAACGCAACTTGGTACCAGCAGGATGACGGTGGATATGACATCTACTGACCCGGGCCAGCATGCTCCTTGCTTTCTTTGTATGGATGGTGGTTTTCGTGTAACAGCAAAGGTTTCTTATGTGTCTATGTCCTCGCAGCCTATAATACGTGCTAATGGCTGGTTTCGGTGGTGGAGCAAAGCGCACATGTACCACATGTCGATATCTACGGCGAACCATCGTTGAGCCTGAGCCTGAGCCTTTTGTAGATAGCAAGCCTGATAAATGTAACGGCAACGAAGACTTTGGAGCTCGTAAATGTTGTAAAGTTGCAAGTCGTAGTATGACGTGATCAAAACTTAGCAAGAAGCAACTACTCACATTCACACTCACCACTTGATGTTGAAGGTATAGAGTACCTCCCTGTCAATTGTCTTTTCACACGAGCAATTGTCCAATATGGAATCTGCGCCTGAGGCAGAATCCCTAGCCCCTGTGCATTTACCTCGCATTACGATCAGATTTTGTACTCAGTTAAGTTTTCTTTTCCGAGCCATAATGCCGTTGCTCCCTGACCCGTACAGCGTCTTGGAGTTAAACATTCCAGAGCGTTTCCTACGACTCAGATATGATCCTAATAGAGAGCTATGCTGACTCCGAAATTATATAGATGCAAATGGATGCTTCGTGCGGCATACGTACGTCAGATGCCCGTTCTTTGCAGTCATCGAGTATCTTGCTTTCGAACTTGGGAGTCTCTTCCTCCATACTTACTTGATTCGCGACTTGTTCCCGGAGTGGCAGCATAATATCAAACACCTTGGGATTTAATTGTATTCCTTCCAGGTAAAAAGTGCCAGCAACCACAGGCTTTTTCTCTCCTATTTCGAACGTCAAAGTTATCATGTTGTACAGGTCTCTTCTTCCAAGAACATGGTACCTCGGATTCTACTGTCAGAAATATTTTTGAAAGGGTTTGCTCCGCTACGCGTAACTATGCAATTTGATGCTGCGGAAAAAATGCCGCCCAATTCTCAAATTTGATGACTCTCAAAATTTACATGCTCATCCTAACTCTTACTCGTGCTCACTTTGTTTAGTTCGCCCAAGAACTTCTCTCGACGTTCTCCACATCCCTGGGCGAAGTCTCGCTCATTCCCGCAACGGGTGGTGTTTTCACCATAGATATCATCTACGCATCTACACAGTCAAATCAAGAAGCTCTCAATGGACAACCTCCTACTACCCAAACGGCTCGACTCTGGGATCGAAGAGCTGAAGGCGGTTTTCCCGGTACGTCCTCAAACGATTCTATCTGTCCTCTTCGTTAGTTCTACGTGATCAGTGCCCAGTGCCTCTCCCCCTTTCAATCGTGTCTCTTCTTCAGCTTTTGGGGGGGGGGGGGGGTTGGGCTGGAGGGTACTCTCTTTCTTCTTGAAATCCATAAGACAAGCCTTATCCTTTGACGTTCGTGCCCATCGTCAATACGATCGGTATCCGTCCTTTTTGCCCGCCAAAACTTCTATTTCTTTCACGCTATTCGAGAATCCCTAAGCACTGAGCCTTCTAAACCCTCCAGGTGAAGGTACATGTATCACTCTAGCTAACCCTGTGCTTCTCTCTCACAGAAGTAAAGAATCTCAAACAGCTGGTCCGCAATGTTGTGGACCCAGATCGTGATCTAGGTCACGTCGATCGCGATCACAACGGGCAGAAGCCTGGGTCAGCTTCGGACGAGAAAGATTCTTCCGTGTCGACCGGCCAGTCTTCGACAGAGAAGGCCGAGGAAAGTATTCAGCAACATTGTCGAACACGTCCTCGACTAACATTTTCAAGGCGTCAAATGACGATCAGGAGCGGACGATAGCTACAGACGCTGATGCAGCTGTAGCAAGGGGCGCTGCCGCCGAGGATAACGGAAATGAAGAGCAACAGAAGGAGAAAAGCCGTGGGGGAGGGGAGGCTTCTCAAGACTGTAAATGAAGCTCTGATAGCTCTCTATAGCCATTGAAGATTTCGCACTACAGCGTCGTCGCAATTTCGTGTAATCGGCGGCGTAAGCCTCTTCACTCAATTGACCGCCTTGTGTACTAGTATTGATTTTTTTCGGTGCAGAAAACTCTTCATGTCAACGTGTAATAAGTCTTACAATTTCTTGGTAGCATAGTCAACTACTTTGGAGTTGTAACTGTCCATTATACTAGTGAATATGAATGCCAAGATTCAAGAGGCTCGTGTCGTAGATAGCCTGAGCTTCCTGGCAATGACAGTATCTGCAGAGTAACATTTTGGGTTCATGTCGAAACATGAGTACCACTCAATACGACTAGGGGTAACATACCCTACATCTTTCAGGAGCTTGGGTTAGGGTGGCCTCGGATGTCACGTTGTGATACGTCCCTCTTTCAGAGGGTCGTGCTCCACACAGGTAACCCCTTGGAACAATGAGAAGGTGCTACAATAGCACCAGCATGCTATGATCTGTCTTCGATAGCTGTCTTAAGTCGTCTTCCATTGTGTTCGAAGCGCCGAAGAGGATATCTTGAACCCTGACCCAAAGCGAGACATCATCCATGAGCAGCTATTTCTCTTTAGGTACGACGGCTGAAGCATTAACAACGCCGCAATATTCGAGCGAGTACACGTTGCAATCTCACATTGAGGTTTACCCTGAGGGACTCCTGTCACCTGCTGTGCTGCTCAATCAGATATCCAACGTCTCGCCCCCGACCTTCAACTCCTCTTCCATTTTTCCTAACATCATCTCTTCCACTATCTTTGCTCCTTGCTTCTCGGCGGCGATCCCGGCTTTCTTGCCATCCACTTCGTCGGCAACGACTCCAGCCACACGATCATCAAGAGCCAATTTCGTTTCGCCTAAAGCATGGATCTGTTCCTCGATCGTATTCTTTGTCACTAGTCTAACTACCTCGACTTCCCTAGTTTGGCCGACACGATGGGCTCTGTTCTCCGCTTGCTGATCACTTTGAGGGTTAAATGACGAGTCGAATATGACGACTTTATTGGCACCTTTCCCAAAGTCAGTATTCATTTCAAGCGAACCATCCCCGAGATCAGCTTACAAGCAAGGTTGATACCTGCGCCTCCCGCGCCTGTTGAAAGGAGAAAAACCGTAATGTCTTCCTCTTCGTGGAATTGATCGATCATGTCTTGACGTTGTTCCATGGGAGTTGACCCGTCAAGTCGGAAGAATTGCATTGCCAAGGTTTCCATGACGGCTTCGAGGATATCCAAGACCATGACAAACTGTGAGAAAACGAGGACCCTGTCTCCATTCTGTTTAAATGTTCGGAGGAGTGAAGCCAGCTTGCTGACCTTCCCGGAATCCATCCATGGATTGTCTTGAAGAAGGAATCTGGTCATAGTCCGGGGATGATGCTCACAAAATCGGTGAAGTTCCATGTCCGTCATGACTTCCATGTCTTCGTAAACAAATTCAACGTTGGAATGCTCGTACTCCTGCTCTCCTAGACATGCTTTGGACATCTTTGCAATAATACTATCGTCGTAGAGCCGACGAAACAGTAATGGGTGAATGGATGCTTTTCGCAGAGCCATCATGATGTTAGCGGTCTCGTTACCAGTTTTTTCACCAGCGGCCCTCGCTGTGACGACCCGAAGTGCTCGAGCCTTTTCCATCGCATATGTCTCAGATTGGGATTTGGACAGTTCGCAATACTCGACCCTTCGGATTTTCGCCGGAAGATGCTTCAAGACCTGGTGCTTTTTCCGCCTTAACACAAACGGCGTCATCATGGACTTCGCCCGAGCAATGCGTTGGTTTGATAGTAATGCCGCGTGGGAATCGTCAGTGGTCTTGGCTTTATGACTAAATATGGCTTCAAGATCCTCATGATGCTCGCTGAAGACTGAAGGCAGAATGAACCCCAGCAGGGAGGCAAGCTCCCGGAGATTGTTTTGTAAAGGTGTCCCTGTCAGAAGCAAACGGAAGTGTGTTGGAATCCTCATAAGGGCTTCATAGCCCGCCGATTTGCTGTTCTTCAGAAGATGACCCTCATCGTATACGCAGACTACAGGTTTCAGCTTCCGGAGGAATTTGTTATCGTCCTTTGTCTTGGCTAATGTGTATGTCGTGACGACGATATTGAGAGTGTCTAAATTGTCCAAGATTTGGGTCTGAATCCCGGGTCGCTCATTCTGGCCGGCGTAGTATGGCATGACATGGAGCTTAGGGCAAAACACCGAGAACTCTCGTAACCAATTCTCCAGTGTAGAGCCCGGAACAACGACCAAATGAGGGCCCTTGATCCCCTTCTCAAGCAAATGAGCAAGGAAAGCTACCACTTGACATGTTTTCCCCAGCCCCATATCATCGGCCAGAATACAGGATAGTTTCCGCTCGAACAACAGAGAAAGCCAATTGACTCCCACCACCTGGTAGATACACAGTCAGCCTTCCCTTTGGCGAACTTAACGGGAGCGAACAATCTTGGAACGGACGCACCTGATAATCCTTAAGCTGTATACCTTTTGCCATAATCGAAGGCTGTGGAAAGAACGCATTCCTTCGAGTCTTCCTAAAATCCCCTTCTTCATCCGAAACTACGATGCTGTTCGGCGTGCCGATAGCAGAGTCTCGAGGAGAAATATCCGGCTCAAAGCTGACGATCTCAAGTTCACCCTCCGTTGCTGCACCAAATACATTGACACCCCAGCCTTTCATGTCTTCTTTCACCGGCTTTGCCAACTCCTCGCATCGTTTGACAAGCTCATCGATAGCCTCGTAGCCTGTCCACATGTTCAAGCATTTGTCAACGATCTTGTCCCCAAATGGTTTGCGTGCCGTCTTTCTCTTAGTCTTTGTTTTCCCTGGAATATCACTTGACACTTGACGAATATCGTCCAACGACTCAAAGGGCCTCTGAGATAGGAGTACAGATGCAACGTCTGATGTAACACCAGCTAGATCAACGAGATCGGGAATCAAACATGTATTAAAGAAATTGAGAACCCTGTGATCCAGCTCAGAATCAATGCCGGTTCCCACACCTGAATCGGAGTCATCTGGATTGGGTGTAGCATTTCTTGAGGACGAAACAGGAGACGGCTGCTTTAGTACTGCGACCGGGGATGACTGCTGTTTTCGACCCCGGACAAGCCGTCGTCTAGGCTTTGGTGCAACAGCGGCAGGTGAGGTAGCTACGAGGGGAGGGGAATCTTGAATACTGCGTGCTTGTGTAGCGGTCCATTTATCTTGAATTTTCAGATTTGGGGCCTTGATTTGTTGCTTGGCCGGAGCTTTTTTTGGAGCTACTTGACTGGATAGTGGATCTTCGCCATCTGAGCTTGCATGATAAATTTGCGTCGTACGAGTCTCTTGAGATGCTAGAAGTTCCATAGCATCATCAAAATTGTACTTTTTTCGCTCCAAGGCACCTTTGCACGCCCGTACCCCATGGTGAGGAAGAATTTGCCGCATACGACTAATCTTAGATCGCAATTGATAATCCTCTATGTCATCAATGTCGAGTTCGGTGGCTGGCAGAGCCTTTGCCGGACCTGTCTGTTTGACTTGCTTGGGTGCTCTACTGGTGGCCCCATACGCATTTGCCATGATGTCGGCCGATCGTTTCAAGGAAGTGCTGATACGAGACGTAGTCTGTTTTTCATTTCGATTTCGCTGATCATACACTGACCCTGAGAGCGTTGACCCTTGAGAATTAGGCTTTTCGGTACTGTCGAGAGGTTTGTAGAAGGAGTTCGACAAAATATCCTTGAAGCTACCGCCAGGCTTCGTAGCCTTTGAGCCATGTTTTTGGCCCGAATGCGTGAAGGTGGAAGGCTTGATATCTCCTCTGCGTCTTGACTCCGACTCATCATCAGATGAGGCGCCTCGGAGAAAAGGCTCATCGTCGCTAATGTCCACGATAGTGGCCGCAGGAGCTTTTGTTACACCCTTCGGAGGTTGAAATGCGGTTCCAGCGGGTGCCATACTACTCGCAAGTCTCCCCCGTGCAAAATGTTTGCTTGTAGCAGGACTGGGAGATATATTTCGTGCGGGCGAAGAAGCTGCCACCTGAACAATGGAAGGCTTCCGGCCATTGATTTCTTGCACAGGGGTAGCTTTGCGGACTATCTGCGTCGGCTGTGTGACGTACATGGGGGGCAAAGAGATTATGTCGGCTGTATTTTGTGAGGTGGGAATGGGCTTTGCTGCTAAAGGGACCGTGGCGACTGTCTCGTAGTCCGCGAAGATATCATCGCCACTGTCGTTTTGAGAGTCGTATGTTTGACTCCTCGAGGCGTCGCCCTTGGCCAACTTCCTCCTCTTTGCGGGCGTATCCTCGACAGAATCCATGGTGCTGGATTGGGTAAGGACTAACTACAGTATGTAGATGTTGTCAAGATTTGGTAATTGTTCAGAGACGCTCATTTGCTCAAACAAAAACGTGCCAAGCCAGAACACTCTACGCGAGAGAGCGCGACAGACGCCAGGACGCGCCATTTATCGGTGGGCTTGGTTCTGAAGACAATACATTCCTTCCTGCCAAAATGACTTCGAGAAGGATCGTATCTACTGGAGAGAATCTGTTTGACAAGGATGAAAGGACCAACACTCCTAATGCATCGGAGAAATCAAACATCACTCCTGCGGTTCCTACGTGGGTTATCCTTCTACTGCTTAATAAATAATTCGACAGTGTCGAGTATGTGTGGATGACATTGACAATTCTGCTCTAGAGCTGTCATATACAAGCTCTTGGGGTTCACTCTGGCAATGATAGCAGGCCCCATAGGAACATACTTCCTAACTCTCAATACTATATTTCGAGGTCGGTCTTACACCTTCTAGACGGTGGTGAAAGACACCTACTCATACGACAATACAGGCAAATCGACATGGGCAGGAGCAACGGCTGCCTTTATGGCAAATATGGTACTCATAGCATATGTCATCGTCGCTATGAGAGAGGATGAGAGCGAGAAACTAGCTGCTGAGGAAAAGGCCAGGAAGGGAGAATGACTGTACTGCTATGTACTACTGTTACATGAATGCGGATATGAGAAGGTGAAGGTTATTAGCATGGCGTATGAACCGTTTTCTCAAGCGCTAGGAGCATGGCTCATACCATGCGTTCTTTACCGTTTGCATGAAGTCTTGCCAACCTCATCCAGACCGCTATGTATTATTGACAAGCTGTTGCTGTTGAACCCAACCGATGACGCCTTCCATGCTGTTCGTGAAAACGCAGCGCGCATTCCATTAAGCATTACTGTTCATGTATGCAGAGGCAAACCCCACTGGCGGAAAATGCTCTTTTGAGACACTCGAAGCTTTCAGCCATTCGTCTCATCATTGCCAACAATCTAACCCTTGCTAAATCTTCTCTTGAGCCAACTCTTGCGTTTGTCTGTGTCAACGGCCGGTGGTGGCCCGCTGCCCACTGCAGATCTCATGCCCACTGCAGAACTCCCTAGCTTGATAGGAACCCTTGGTCCAGCGTCTTTGGGAGGTGCATGCGGTGGTGGGGCGGGAGCCCCGTTGCCTTGATATGGATGGCCATTGCCAGCTGCAACCTGGGATTGACCATATCCAGGATGCCCGTACCCTGGAGCGCCGTGCCCATGCTCCTCCAAGATCGGACCTTGGATTTGGGGCGCTCCTCCGAATCCGTTGAAGCCGTAAGCTTCACCAAGGTCCGGTTTGGGGGCTGTCTGAACTCTATCAATGGAGCTATTCTCGCTGCTAGGGTCAGTGGAATTGCCCCACTGGTCAGTTGCGTGGCTTCCATTGGATGCTGATGCTACTGTGTCGTAAGATTGCTGATGTCCATGCGAAGGATAAACGCCTTGGGTATTGTTGTGTCCATACAAAGCTGGATCTGAGTGGTTTCGAGGGCCGAAGCGACGGCCACTGCCATGCTGGTTTGGAGCATTTCCGTAATTATCCATGATACTGTCAGGCCTGCTGTGGCTCATGCGATTGCCATAGTACCCTCCACCATCAGCTGGGGATCTTTGTTGCTGAGCTTGGTAGCCTAAAATATGCATTGGAGCAAGTAAGCTTTTTAGCTCGAGGATCTGAATTAGCCCGTCCGGGAGATCGCCGTGGCCAAGGAGCCGCCCAAGAAAAAAGAGGGAAAGAAAAAAGAGCCAACGCGCGGCCACTTGGAAGACCCAGTTGCAAACATTGCATACATTTCACGAGTCATTCATGGAAAATGTTTCGTATGGAAAAGCCACCGCTCAACAAGCGCGATATGAAATGCAACATATTTGGGGGTCTCACCTGAGAAAAAGCCACTTCGACGATTATTCTGAAGGCTCATGGGGTTCGTCGACTCTGTGGAACACACCAATCAGCTTTGTAATTTCCAGGCTTATCATTTGTAGGCAGTATGTCGTACCAGCTCTGAAAGAGGCCCTCCGATTGTATGATCCATCTATAGCCGCCTCAAAGGACCGAATGGTGTCAAGTGGTCGTTCCATACGGGGTCGTGTCGGATTTGACAGGTCGGGATCAGCTGTCTAGGCATCAGAAACGCTCTTTTCAGTGATTCCCACCTGTATCTCACTGATGACGTTCCCATCTGCATCGCGGTGCTCAAGACTTCGAATGGATTCAATCGTAGTGGCCTCGAGGGTATTTCGAGTCGCTGAAAAGGTTCAGCAAAGGTCTTGAGCTACTTTGACTCTTGTTTAGCAAACGTACCAGGCTGCGCTTCATTGATGGCTTTGGTCGGATCGGCCTTTGTGTTGATATGGAATGCAGCTTTCTCTTTGGCAGTCTCAGCGGCATCAACCTTGGGGATCGATCCACTGCTGGTCTTTCTATTCTTGCCCGTAAAACTCAGCATCGAGCTTCTGCGGTTTCTGGCCATCGTAACGAGGGCGGCGCGGACAACTTATGAACGATCGTGAGTGGCGAAAGTGACAAAGGGATGTAGGTATTCGGAAGCTTGAGAACGGAGCTGTGCAGTTGGCCAACTTTGTTGTAGCGACAGGATGAGGTGAGCGGTGGAGCTCTGGGATTCACGAAACAGCCGTAGATCCGCCGTTTTGGGGCAGTGTTGGGGCCTGCTTTCAAGCGAGTGAAATTTCTATGAATAGAATGGACAGTGTGATAAGGACGAAATGCTACAAGTCAAAGTAATGGGTACGTGATACCTGTACAGAGAGAATACCTAGAAGCGAATGTGAAGATGGAGGACACAGCTCCAGGCTGGGAGGTTACGATAAGACATGGCCGTGGTGAGACCCTGCATCGCCTGGCTGAGAAAACTTTGATTTATCATTACTAGTGCAAAACTCAAAAGTGGAGCATGCATCTACTAGTAGCTCGACAATGATTTGCTCTCCATTATTGCCCTGCTGATGGTCACATCTCTTGCATTGGATTGCAACAGTATGAGTCGACGGCCATTGTCAGTATTTTACTTGCATGCATCGTTCTGTCAAAATCCCAAACCTTCAAGGCTAGAAGACCGCCTGCTCGACCACCTCGGAGCTATAACAAATTGGTGCCGAACCAATAACACCATCATCGCTGCACCATAAAAATGCATCAGGGCTTGCTTTGAATCAATTTGATTGATTTGCGCAAGCTACGCACGAAACGTGTCTTTACTTGTCACACAGTGCGGCCTTCGACCACTTTCATCCTGTTCACTGGGGCCAGCAGCTGGCTCCACAACGCCTCTTCTGATCCATCTTCGAGACCCGCTGAAACGCTAAATCGATGACGGATACAGCATCACTCTGACCGAGGCGCCGAAAGATTTGGGTGGGAGATTGCTTCTGAAGTTTACCCTCACAACGCCAGAGTTGCCTAGCGACCTCATTCAGCAAGTGGACAATATAGAAAACCCATCGGTTGAGCATACCATGTGAACGTGTAACTTTGCCCCAAATGACTCTGATCTTTGTACCCCTAATTTCCCGATGTGCGCGGTAGACGAAGGCTACTTTCTTGCCCAGGTAGAACCTGTAGAAGCGTTGACGGTCAGCCATACATCACCTTAATGCGGGAAGAAGTGGAAGCACACGTAGCAGCTTTTGGGTCATCAACGCCCTCGATCTTGACCAAGCTATCGGCACATCAGCAATGGGCCCAAACAAGTCGTGCTCTGCCATGGTTCCCACCTAGTCCCTGGGTTTGTATTTCGCTGAAAGCTATCAGCACAGTCTTGCACAATATTCGATGTGTTGCCCCTCGCTCACCTTCCCTCGTTGATAACTCAGATGCCGTCCCCTGTCATCATCGTACCTAAGGTCAGCCTCTTCACTTCAGGACCAATGTTGTGGCATTCGCATCTTTCAGCTTAATCGTGCTGACAAGACGTCGCGATGGATGTACTGTTTGGCAACTCACTTTACGTACACTGGATGCAAACGTCAGCATTATTTGTAAATTCAGAGGCTAGCAGCACGAGTACTGGACGGTACTCGTGACTGGCAAGGGCAGCAGTTGGGCGGGACGCGGTATACTTACAGCGATGTCCCGCTTCTGAACCCATGTTGGCCCCCTATTCTCAGCGTCGTCTATGCACAAGGAATGCGATGGTCGAGTGTTGATAGTAGTGGTTGAATTGGTTGTGGATCGCTGAAGACGTTTGTTCAAGTGTGGGCCTTGCAGCTTTGAGATTAAGCGACAGCCACTAAATCGTAAATGGTTAGATCCGTTAGATCCGATTAGCATGTTTCCTCAAGACCTAAGGTATGTACTATACAGGCATCTCGCTGGATATGTAAGTAGGACAAATCAACTAAGGCAAATTTAGAGGGACACTTTCCTGAAGATGAAAGTGTTGTACATGCCCTAGCAAGATGTTCTTCATGTTCCCAAATGGCCTGGACCCCTTTTCAACATCGGAACCTGAGCCTGGTAGGAAGAGTACTCGCCAAACCAGCGAGAACCAGCGAGCACCAGATCAGATTACTAGACAAGGCTGCCGGTCTTACCCTTTGTAGAGTCTACAGTACAATGAAGGACTTCTACATCCAGTAGGAAGAGATGAAGGAAGGCATGCATGACTCCGTTGTTCTGGGTTTCTGCACAACATCCGCAATGTTCCGCCTAGCGGCTAACAGCAGTCTCCACCACTGTCAATAGAATCCTTTATCAATTGCTATAGAGAATGGAGCGACCTTGTGCGGCTAGTTATTGAGACAGTAAAAAGCAAAGAGCAGCCGTTGTTGTAACGGCAGCAGCGGCTGGAATACAGTAGTGATTCCCTTACTTAATCGCGTGGTGGCGGATTACTAAGACTTGAGGAAGCATATCTTGCCTTGTAGCACCAAGCTCGACTCTTTTGTCAAACGGCGCTATTTACCATTATCATCCCCCCACAACGATTCTCTTTCCCTTTAGCTGTTCAAATCCACTGTGCGAATTGTCAATATGGCCGACACAATGATCCATCCGGATGAGCCTGAAGACGCTGGGTAAATATTATCTCTTTCTGTGAACAGACGTCACCTTTCCCTCACATTGACTAACCTTTTATTTCGAACATAGGACCATCGAGCTTAAGGATAACACCATCATAGTAGTTCTGGGTGCGTCGGGCGATCTTGCAAAGAAGAAGACTGTGAGCATGCCATCCCCGTCCAAACTACAACAAGTGCTGATTCAATAAACACAGTTCCCAGCTTTGTTCGGCTTGGTTGGTCACCTCTGGCTCCTAAATCCTTGGGACTCCAGCTGACATACTCTAGTACCGTAATCGCTTCCTGCCTAAAGATATCAGAATCGTCGGCTATGCACGGACAAAGATGGACCATGAGGAATACCTCAAGAGGGTCAAATCACACATCAAGGTGCCAACCAAGGAGATGGAGGAGCAACTCGAAGAGTTCTGCAAGATATGTACATATGTCTCTGGTCAATATGACCAGGACGAACCGTTCAAAGTACTGAATGAACATCTGGAGGGGATCGAGAAGGGTCGAGAGGAGCAAAACCGCGTGTTCTATATGGCGCTCCCGCCTAGCGTCTTCATCACAGTCTCACAACACCTCAAGCGGAATTGCTACCCCAAAAGAGGAATATCACGAATCGTCGTGGAGAAGCCTTTCGGCAAGGATCTGGGTAGCTCGCGAGAGCTTCAGAAGGCCCTTGAGCCAGACTGGAAAGAGGAGGAGATCTTCCGTATCGATCACTACTTGGGGAAAGAGATGGTGAAGAACATTCTGATTCTCCGATTCGGAAATGAATTCTTTGGGGCTACCTGGAATCGCAATCACATTGACAATGTTCAGATATCTTTCAAAGAGCCGTTCGGTACCGAAGGCAGAGGAGGCTACTTTGACGAATTCGGCATCATTCGGGATGTTATGCAGAATCATTTGCTGCAGGTGCTCACTTTGCTTGCTATGGAGAGGCCAATTTCATTCTCGTCAGAAGACATTCGTGACGAAAAAGTCCGAGTCCTCCGAGGCATCCCCAACATAGAGCCAAAGAACGTGATAATTGGCCAATATGGCAAGTCTTTGGACGGTAACAAGCCTGCGTACAAGGAAGACGACACGGTGCCCAAGGAATCGCGATGCCCTACATTCTGTGCCATGGTTGCGTACATTAAAAATGAGAGATGGGATGGTGTCCCCTTCATACTCAAGGCCGGCAAGGGTGAGTGAGACATTACATATGCCGTTGTCCTATTGAAGCTGATCAATCGTAGCTCTCAACGAGCAAAAGACAGAGATCCGTATCCAATTCAAAGACGTCACTTCGGGAATCTTCAAAGATATCCCACGAAACGAGCTTGTCATTCGAGTGCAGCCAAACGAATCGGTGTACATCAAGATGAACTCCAAGTTGCCTGGTCTGAGCATGCAAACCGTTGCAACGGAGCTTGACCTAACCTACCGCCGCCGCTTCTCTGACCTTAAGATTCCCGAGGCTTACGAGTCTTTGATTCTTGATGCGCTCAAAGGCGATCACTCCAACTTTGTCCGTGACGACGAGCTAGATGCTAGCTGGAGAGTTTTTTCGCCTTTGTTGCACTATCTGGACGGGAACACAGAAATCACTCCTATGGAGTATCCCTATGGTACGTGAAGATGCAGCACTTCGGATCCACCAGGCTAACATAATTCCAGGCTCACGCGGTCCAGCCGTTCTTGACGATTTCACATCTTCTTACGGATACAAATTTTCCGATCCAGCCGGCTATCAGTGGGGTGGAGCTCAAAATGAAGCCAACAAGCTGTGAGTAAAGTACTTGCGGAGCGTTAGAGGCCCCCTCTCTTGCGTGCTTGTATGAAAGTGTAGTAGATCTCAATAGCTTAGCCATGATAGTTTAGATAGCGCTGGAGTGACCGAATACACGGCATGACAAAGATCATTGCTTTGAGTATTGCAATGCATTGTGGGCGTGTGAGTGCAATGGAGGAGTCTGAGACCCTCTGCTACTGGAAATGGACCTTAAATCTGAAATGTCACTTGTGTAACTCAGATGATGGCAAATCGCTCTATGCAGCCATATATCTGTTTTACTAATTTTCCACCCGGATACCTTTTCGTGAGCTTTATGCTCAACGCCGTCGCTATGTGTCATGCATACATCTCTGTCATTAGTCGAACCCTGGTTAATTAAAGACCGACCCACTCCTCAAGTCTTGCCCCTCACCACTCATCAAATCTCCCACGCCACCATTCCAGCTTCCCCCGTCTTGACTGCTACCACTGCCCACGTTACCTAACCCCTTCGTTGCTTTTATCTCAAGTCCAGCATTTAGTAGGCCCATCCTCAGTAAGCGTAGATGGGCCGTACGCTCGTATTCCTCTGCAGTAGCCAACGCCTTGGCATGCACTTCGCTTCTGTTATCCACTTTTCTCCCCAGCAGCACGCGATCAACGAGATCAAGGCGAGCGTCAAGGTTGCCGCGCTTGATCATTTGGGAGAGTTCGAGTTCGATGTTTGGCTCATCTGTATTGAATGCTGTTGCAAGAGCTGAAAACGTGACGCAAGAGAAAGGGATAAAGTATTGCTGTATAGCTTTACTGCGGACTTCGTAATAGAGCTGGGGGATGTGGCGTTGAAGATAGATGTCAAGGAGGTAGTCAGCTTTGTATGAGTCAAGAATAGACAGACATGCTGAGTATTTGGAGGAGACGAAGTAGGATATGGCGCGACGGATGTGAGGTTCGAGCTCAAGGTAATTGCGGAAGCCAGAATTGTCGAGGACTTGCTTTTGAAGCTCCTCGCGGGTCATGGAGGCGAGTGCGCAGAGGCCGCCGTAGACCGCGATATCATTAGGGGTCAAAACCTCATTGTAGGACTCTTCGTCCGCTGGATCGTCGAGCTTGGTTTGTGACATTCTAGGATTTGTGCTTAAGAACTCCTCGGCGGCTTCCTTGTATTTTGCTTGGGCCATGTATGTGAGGCCCGAGGCAGCGGACAGCTTGGCGGAGTTCTTCTCAGCTTCAGGATACTTCTGATTGCCTGATTGACCCCGTATACGTTGGACGTGATTTTGAGCGGCGAACCAGCTGTGCTGGTCAATGCAGACGTTGATGAGGTGCATGTTCATGATCACGATGTGAGAATTCGTGGTACAAAAGTCACGCATTTGAGAATAGGCTTTATTGGACTTTGAGAGTTCACCAATGCGGTGGTAGTGGTGGCCGAGGTCATCGTACCCCATCTTTGAAAGGAGTTGTTAGCTGATTAGCTTGTGTGTGTTCGTGAGGAGACATAGCATACCCTGATGCTCTCCTTGATCAGGTTGTTTTTGTAGCCCTTCAACTCCAACTCCATTTTGTCAGTTGCGCCTTTTACTTGCTTCTTCATTCTGTCAATCCAGTCCAAGTCCGGCGTGGCATCGGTATCATTAGGGGCAATCTCGCGAAGACATGACACAGCATTCTCGTAGCGCTGAACATCGGTTCCTTGCTTGGCTTCAGCAATAGCTGCTTTCAGTGCTTCCAAGAAGAGATACGAGGAAGAAGTTCCGATGAGTAGCAGTCGTTCGAAGCGCGTTCGGCCTGTTGAAGCAATTAGAATCTGGGTCTCACGGAGCGTATAAGAAACATGAAGCCTTCTACCTCTGTAATTCGCAATGTAGGCCTCGAGATCCAGCTTTGGTGGCTCTATGAGAAGGTCAGCTAGAGTATGTAATGAGCGAAAGCGCAGGTCACAGATACTGACCTTCTACAACAATTCGTCCAGCTCGACGAGCTTTGGTGAAGTACTGCGGCTCAGCTTGGACAGCCATGACCCACTCAACTCAAATGTCCGAGCCGGAACCCCGAGCCAGTAATTTGAAGGCGCAGTCAGACAGATGTAGGGCAATTGGTTGATTTTAGATGCGAAGTGGACGTTTCAAAATAAGGGTGTTGATACACCTGAGGTTAGGTAGCTGGAGTCACTCTCAAGCACAGGTATCTTACTTACCTAGGAGGTTAGGGCTTACCCTTGGCGTGACCGGCTAAATGTCGATCATCTGATTGGACTAAAACCCTAGTGCGCGCAGCACGTGACCTGTCCGATCATCGCATTTGCGAGTAGAGTAGGTTCCTTCGTTCTCCATGTCCTGGAATTACAGCTTTGCTATGTGCCTTGAAGAGGATTGGGAATAGTTCGTTGTATTATGTTAACACTTTCCACGCGCCCGATCAATTTCAGGTCGTCTTTCTTTTGTCGAAGATTTGTCTCAGGCGGCGACAATAAAATACAGGGTAGGTGAACCCATATTACTCCTCTCAAATCCATGAACTCATGCTGGGGACAGCCGGTGATCGCGTTGTTCTGCAGCTGAAAGGGAGAGATCCGTTCATGACTAACGTACTTCGTCAAGATGGAAAGACGAATCTTCAGCAGTAAGTCATCTCTTTGGAGCCATCTCTTCCGGCTTCGTACTGCATTTGGAGCGACAAGTCCTGTTCTAGAAATGGAACAGTTCCAGAACTCGTCTGGCAATTGGGGTCCGATGCTAAGAGAGATACGCTGACTCCGACATGACTCAGTGGCGACATCTTGCATAGCGAAATCATTGGCAGAAATACAAGAGACTTAGTGAGGAGTAGTAGAGGAGCCGACCTCAGAGTCTACCTTCCCACCTTGGCTGAATATGTCACCATGACTCCTCGCATTGTGACTCCCGTGGGACTACTCAATTCTCTGCCATGTATACGCGGCTTACTTCTTCCACCAGTAGATCTACCCAGTGGACGCCAATCTCATAGTCTCGTTGCTAGATATCCACGCCAGTCCTTCACCCTCAACTCACGGCCCCCCTTCCTTAGAGATTCTCGAAGCAGGCACTGGGCATGGAGGATTAACATTGTACCTCGCTAAAGCTGTTCACGCAGCAAATGCTCTACGACCCAACACCAACAACCCAAGTAGTAAAGCGGTAGAAGATTGTCAGTCAGCATCCCTTTTCAAAATTGGTGCTCCAGGTTATCAGAGGTCTTCCGGACGGGAAGACGATCTGAATTCACGATCAAAACCCTCCTATGAACATAGTAGTGATGACCGGCAAGCGGTCATCCATACTCTAGACGTATCTTTGAAACATTCAAAACATGCAGAGCAGATTGTAAAAGGGTTTCGCCAGGGACTCTACTTCAACGATATTGTCTTTCATGCTGGTGATATCTCCGGGTGGATAGACGAGCAGGTCTCCAATCGTGGACTTGGGCCTGATGCAAAAGCATTCTTGTCACATATCGTGCTGGACATGCCTTCTTCATTTCATCATGTCGAAAAAGCGGCGTCTGTATTGCATACCAACGGTAATCTGGTTGCCTTCAATCCCAGTATCACGCAGATCATTTCTATTGTTAAAATAGTCAAGCAACTCAGTCTCCCTTTGGTCCTTGACAGTGTTCTCGAGCTTGGACTAAACGTCTCGGGAGGCAAGGACTGGGTTCGTACATTTCGAAATAATCCCTTCCTTTTCCATGCCGAGGTCTGAGTTGCAATACATATTTCTGGAGGAGAAGGCTCTTTCTGGTCCCGAGACGTGTCTTGCGAGTCTGAGTTTTGCCTTTGAAAAGCAACGCTGACTCCGAAATGTGCGCAGGATGTACGTACTGTCACACCAAGGGCACTGACGAGGAAGGCAAAAGATACCATACGCGAAGACGATGCTTCAGGGGACGCGGACAAGGATTCAAACGACGGCGCAGTGGCCGACTCCGCTGGAGCAAGTACCGCTGAAGGAGACAATCAACCAATTCACGATCAAATCAGTGAAATGGAGATCGTCTGTAGACCGAAAGTCGGTTATCGAGTGGCGGGTGGAGGTTTCCTCGGCGTCTGGAAAAAGATGAAGTATTGATGGGCACTGGTGAGTCTTGAGCCCACGAGAGTTGATCATCGTTCACACAGACCTCTGCGCCGCTGTTAAGCGTCGAAGCTCGGTCACTTTCGTGCCGATATCTGACAAAAGGGGGTCTTTACCTCAGGATAAAAGGCTTATCTAATGTCTGGACTTAGGCGGCCTCCTCGAAGGGAGCTTTGGTTCTGCAAAGCTACATCTCAGGGGCTGTCTATGTTGAATCTTGTGGAAATAATATCTCAATATCTTTTCTGAATGTCTTCTTGGAAGTCAAATTCGGCCATTTCACTATTGTTATATAGTCGGTACGAATAAATACATCAGGACTGGCAGGCTCTCGCCGCAGTTCGAGCGCTGCATGTTTCTTCTACAGGAGCTGCTGTGCTGTAAGAACGTATGGTCGGTGCTTCCTAACCGAGCCATGCATCCTGAAGACCATCCGGAATAGTCTCAGAGCCCAAAAATTTGCTAGTCGGAGAATTGTCACAATTTGCTTTGTGGCTCTGACAAGGCTTGCGTCCTCTGAATGTTTGCTCTAGCGAGGATCCAACCTGCAACGTCGTTTGCGAAAGTGATCTTGTCCTCCCCCGGCTCAGCGTGTAGCTTGTGGAACCATCCCGGATATCTGGAAAGCTTCAGAGTCAGCATGTCCAAAACGGGACAGATCTCGTATTTGAACGCGGATTTTTAGAGTGTAACACTCTAGATAGAGGCCCTCGCAAATCCCTTCTTCATTGATCAGGGAAGATAACATCGAAAGATTGCTTACTCCTTGAACTCCTTATCTTTTGCCTTCAATCGTCCAAACCACTGCTTACTGCTCTCGAAACTCGTGACCCGGTCTCCACTCCCATGTCCTATCCAAAAACTTTTCTCATCCTCTACAACTATCCTGTCGCAATTCAACTCTGCTCCCCTGTCCATCATCCCGGCCAGCCCTTCCAATGTTCCCGTATCATGACAAAGCTCGTCATCCTCCCACTGATAGTTTCCTAAGTCAGTAGAGCATCTTTGAGGTAGAAAACCAAGGCATGACGTATGACTTGAAATATTGAACGAGAGACAATATGTAGACCCGAGATCGGATCCACGAGGAGCCGACCCTCAGGATTTGAGTGATGACTGCCTACTTATCTAGACAAAGAAGCCAGATGGAAGCTTTGAGCCAGCAAGTCTGATGTTTCTTAATAAGATTTACTCTTTAGATTGCAATGATTCACGAGCATTGAGCCTTCAAGACTGCAGAACCGTTCAAATGAGCAAGCTGGGGAAGTGTTTGTGAGGTCTGATGGGCCTCAGAAATTCTGATGGCTTTCTCCCGTCATATCCTACAGCAAAGGATGTTTCGTGTCGTGCCGGGCCCCTACGCCCCAAAGACATCACCGAAGGAGAAAGAAACATGCTTACCTTCTTGCATACTGCCGGGTCCCTGCAAAGCCACCTGGGCTGCAGCTTCTGCACCCTAGATGATAATTTCAGAGTCAGGTTTCCCTATTTGAGAGGATCTTTTGAGCCTTGGAACATGCCCAAAGAGTCGAAACTCCCAAGACATCTATCAAGACTCAAGATTTGGTCCAAAAGAGGGATTATGGACGGCGCAAATACGTACATCTGTCTCTTTGGTAGGACTTTCGCCGCTAACCTACCGGCTATTGCAATCATACGACGAGGCTGTGCTGACGTGTGGAGGGTCAGGTATGGGCTTTCAGCAACATAGCCTCTTATCTGAGATCGCATATCCGAGGGACCACGAGCTGCCCATTGTAGCACTTCCGCACCCCCCATTGAGTGGCCCATCAAGAAAACAGGGACGGACATTGATGCAGCTGTTGCAAGCAGTGAATCAATAATGGAACTTATGTCATTGAGTACCGTCGCTGTAGGCCCAGTGAGACCCCGTTGTGAGGGTGTCTGCACAGAGCGTCCCCAGCCGCGTTGATCGAAGGCATGGGATCTACAGCGATACTCCATATTAGCGTTGCCTTCCTTGACTGGGAATGTGTATCCACGAAACGAAATTACATCTTTCGGAGCGGTGTACAACGTAGGGGAGTAAAAAATTGTTTTCCTTCGCTTAATGGGTCTAGCAGACGCTAAGCCCCCACTATAGGAGGAGATCTGGGGCTTCAGAGAGTCATTAAGTCAGTGAAGGTCTAATGATTAGACCATGCGAATGGTAGACTATCTCACATTCGCGCTGTCTTGATCGATAATCTCCCTTTTCACGCTGAAGTTTCCAGCTTGCGAGGTGCATAACAAGCACCGGGTCTGGCAGGGTGCCTGGTAACTCAAAATGCCCTCTGGATGGAAAGAAATGAGTTGGAGAAGACTTACTGAATGCCGCGACAAGCGAGGGTGGGAAAAAGAGTGTAGTAACTATTTATATGGTCGGAAAAGCCATGGACGAAGAGCAGCAGAGCGTGAGGAGTTGTTGTGGGCTAAGTATGGCGGACAGTCAATTGAAGGATAGGGGGTTTGCAGAATTTGGGTGGATAGTTACTGACTATCCAGGTCTTCGTGTACAATTTGTGCCCGTCGGGAAGTGTATGCCTTCGTGTTTTCGGAGTCAGCATCAACTTTTTGAGCCGGGGTTTGAGCCCCGCAAAAAGAGTCTGTAAGCCAACTTATAGCAAACACAAGTATTCAGATGATCCAAAAAGTAGACTCACCAGCCCTCCTCTGTTGTATAAGAGGTCATTATATTTTGGGCAATCACCACAACAGCAACAAGTTCCCGAGAATTGTTCCCCGTCGCCCTACCTGTACTTGCCTTATCGATAAGATTGTGATAGGGCTGAAGGTGCCCAAAAATGTGGGGACGGTCAATCTGCTCCAGTCAACTTTCTAGTGCTAGAGTATGTTATATGTATCTCACAGCTGCCGATCAGCTGCCAGAAACGAAGACGGCAAGCTACATTGTGAGATGACTAACCCAGCTCTGCGTCGAGAAGTAATCAACATCTACAAAGGTGATTTCCAAATGCTCCTCCGCATACCCCGTTCCCCAGACCACGAAGGACTACTGCTAAACTGAAGCCGCGGAGATTCGCAGAGCTCCTGAACTTGGGCAAGAATTACCCTCAGGGTTATCCATACTTCCAGACTCACCTGCACAAAGCATTCGCCAGTCAGACCGGTCTTCAAGATGAAAAGGATATCAGGAAGGGCATAGAGAGGGCCGAATATGTGAAGAAGGAGATTGAGGCACTGTAAGCATGTGCTCATCATCGCTGAATCAGGTTGCTGATACGATGGATAATCAAGTTATTATTTGAAGCGATATAGGTACGTACATTTCGGAGCCGATCTGTCCCAGTTGGTATTGAATTTGAGTCGCAAGACATGTTTCGGGAGCAAAAGGACCTTTCTACTCCCGAGATCTGGCTCGCAACTCCATTGCCTACCTCGTATAAGCAATGCTGACTCCGAATAATGCGCAGGGCGCTTCGCCGGCGCTACGGTCAAGCTTAAGATACTTCTTGCGAGCTCGCAACGCTCCAAGCTCGAGACCCTCTCGGTTGAAAGTACTATCTTTCTCGCAGCAGTCTTTATTTTTGTTTGCCTACTAACAGTCAATTCATCTCGTCTCTTACTACTTTCTTTCATCAAGAGCGGCTCCATAACAAATCCAATCTCAATGCTCAAAGCTGTCCGCCTGATGGTCGCTTAGTCTTATGTCAAAGATGAATGTTCCAGGCCGCCGCTGAAGCCCCCAACGCGTTCATTCTCTTCACAGATGTTATCGTCCCGCTGGGCTCATGGAATACGCTTTCATGCTCCTAGCGCACAGGCCCGAAGGGGACTACAAACCTTCGATTGCAAATCTCACTATAAGCATCCGGCTCACTTGAGAAGTCAAAGCCTATGAGGGCACAGGGTGTCGCCGTCAAATTCTGTCTGCACAGAGCTTTTTCCAACCACAAATTAAGATCCTGGATGAATCTGTTCTGGGCGTTTGCAAACGGGATGGCCGCACTTATGGTGTATGTTGCAGTCAATTCTCCATGTTCCTCCTCCTCAACTCAGACTGAGGTATAGATTAGGAAGAAACTCATAGTAAGCGTGCCTGACCCGCAAGCTGACCCCAAAAACTTCTTAGGCTGTTCATGAAACGTGCTACAAAATGGACATCTGAAAACTTGGGCCAGCAGAAGAGTTCGAAAGTTTTGTCTGTTTAGCTCCTTTAGATGTATAGGCAGTGGGTATGTGCTTGCATCTTCCAGAAAATGCGGGCCCTGTCGATAGACGAATGGAGAGGGCATGTCGCTAATCGGGCGGTCATTGACAGGAGCTGGGTTAGGAAACGTTCCCCCTCTAGCACCGTACTGAGTTGCAAATCCCGGATCCTGGAGTCTGTATGATGGTGCTAAAGGCAGGCGACGGCAGCCTCATAATATCATTGGTGCAAGAGCGGTTTTCTGGAGGTATAGATGAAGCAAATGTCTGAAAATTGGAAACATATAGAAGTATGGTTCAAAAAGCAACGGGGTAGGACCTTTGGGCAAAGGTTTAGGCGTGCTAGTTTCCATGATTTGAACTCAAGGATCCACCAAGGATGGTGTGCGACGCCTTACGGAGTCCATGTATATAGATCCTCTTATGTCATATTGTCAGCAAGAAAACTGTCGTTCAGAGACTGGTAGACTTGAAGGTACAAAGTGGGATATAAGGTGGGATATAAGATCTTGACAGGGGATCCAGAGGTCTTTCACGTTCATTTGGTTCCTTAGTTCGGAATGAAGGTGACGAGGGTGAATCAATAAAAAGAAAGCCTTCAAATTTTCGTCTGAAAAGCTGAGTATCCAAAAGGAGAAGTACCCGAACTGTGGTCAAGTATTGAACTCAGCTACCACAAGACACGAGCAGGCATTCATTACGGAAACCTTTTCGAATTAGTCATTGAATGAATCAACTCGCAAGCGTTTGATCGGACTTGCGGAGATGCCTGACTCAAATTCACTGCTGTAGCAAAGTAGACTCCGTATCAACGTGACAGGGGGTTAAAATGGAAGTACTGTACAGAGGTCTGCACCGAAAGTCCTGCACCCGCACTAGTGCAGCCCTAACCCTACTTTCGGAAAGCGGCCCTGTAGAGGGGAAGCCTAGAAATATCTTCTCACAGCGCATGGATGGGACTTTAGGTACTTCTCTTGGCTTGATAGGGGCATTAAGCCCCGAAACCTGGCTAGGGCTAGGTGCGATTCCGAAGAACTTCAGACGCATTGTCCAGGTAACCCTTTAGGTGGGGCGTTATCCGAAGTCTGAGCGCAAGAGTCTTGGCGGGTGCAGGACTTTCGGTGCAGACCTCTGTACCTTCACCCTTCATCACCATCAGGCTGTCAGCCTTAAGGCACGAGGGGCACTGGCGAGACTAGCTTAGCGCTAAGGCGGGTAGCTCCGCGCTTCTATACAGAATGCGGCGGAACCTTCACCAGCAGCGTTTTCGTTGGATTCATAAGGTACGCCATTCGACTGCTATCATTAATTATTATTGCAATAACCAGAATTGTGATACGCTTCTACGTTGTCGCAATCAGGGTCAACTGCATTTTTGAGAAGCCCATGTCCTTAGCGTCTTCTCCTAACACCCTGACCCGCAACCCGTTGACAAGCTGTCGCAGAGTCTCCTCTAACGCGCATTACACCAGGACTACGATGCTTGCGTGGCTGTGAAGTGGACGACCGAGTGTATTGGACGGGTTATCTATCTTGCTAAATTGCAACAATTCCACCGGCAGGAATCTCCTCACGGTATCACAACGTCCTCAATCCTCAGTCTGGAGATTGGTCAACTTCAGCCCCTCGAGCCTAGACCTGAGCACGCAAACGACTTTCCTATGCCTATGGTGGAACGAAGATCCTCACGCAAATCCACCTCCTCCATCACAGATCTGAATACAACAATAGCTACACTGAAGAATACGTATACTCTGTCGTCTCCCTTTCGGTCGACCTTGTTAGATGGCAGATGGAGCACACCGGTTCCCTGGAACCGGACCATTCTACTACAACCAGTATAGTCAACAAAACCACCATCCTCGTCATCTGGCCCGATCCGGCTCTCCAGTGAACAGTGGCAGAGGTAGCTATGCCAACGACACCCCTTCGCCCTCTCGCTCGCCTGTATCACAAGCTTCTTCCCAGAACCCGTATGCGATGTACAGCCAGGGCCATCAGCAGGGTCAGCACGCCATGATGAACGGTGGACAACATCAGAGATTTATGCAGCCAGGCGCGGGCCACAAGTTCCAACATCAATCTTACCAGCAGCACCACGGTCAACAGACCAACCACCACCCGCAAAACCAGAACGGAGGTCACGGTATAGGCCACCAACACACATTCTCCTCGGGAACGTTATCCAACGTCACTCCTCATTTTACTCCGAACACCCTTCACAATGGCAATTCAAGCAACTCTCAGGTTGGGGGGATTAATGACAACTTCATACCAAATCAGCATTGGCAACGTCAGATGCAGCTCGCCGCAGAATCGAGACAGGCGCAATCGGCGCCGCACCATCATTGCAAGAAAGAAGGGGTAATATCGCGAGTGAGCAAAGCCCTGGAGCCAACGCCTGCCGAAGAGGCAGCTGAAGAAGGTGAAGAAGAGCGCAATCGGGCCACCACTGTTGGAGAGATCTCAAGACAAGATTGGGACGCCTTGGATTGTAGCGGTCAAGGTATGAGGGCGATCTCAACATCCATCTTTGCCTACAAATTCCTCAAGAAACTGTACCTCGACCATAATCGGCTTGCACGCCTTGACCCCGTTGTCGGTCATCTGAGGAACCTGACACATCTGGATATCTCAAACAACCAAATCATGGAATTACCAGAAGAAATCGGAATGCTCGTCAATCTGAAAGAGCTCCTGGTGTTTGACAACAATTTGCAAACGCTTCCTTACGAGGTGGGATATTTGTTCAAACTAGAGACGCTAGGAGTAGATGGGAATCCCTTAGATGAGGATCTAAAGGAGCACATCGTGCACCATGGGACAAAGTCGTTAGTCACTCATCTAAGGGAAAATGCTACACGTATGTATTATCCTTCACATGATAAGGTTACTCTTAATCTCCTATGGGGGCAATCGGACTGACTGACTTGCAGCTGGGACCCCTCCCAATGAGCGTCCCCGTGTGGAAATTGATACGTCTCCTGCCTCAGAGATTCTCAGTGTTCTTTCTTACAACATACTATGCGATAAATACGCTACGAAGTCGCATTATGGTTACACGCCTTCGGACGTGCTTTCTTGGGACTATAGAAGGGAGGTTATTCTCAATGAACTCAAAGATCATGATGCGGACATCGTTTGCCTGCAAGAAGTCGACCGCGAGAGTTTTGACGAATACTTTCGCCGCGAGCTTGCTGTCAACGACTATCGTGGAGTTTTTTGGCCGAAAACAAGGGCAAAGACCATGGCGGAAAAGGATGCCAAATTGGTTGATGGATGTGCAACATTTTACAAAGGAAGTAAATATGTCTGTCTTGATAAAGTTCTCATCGATTTTGCAAACACAGCCATCAACCGGCCGGACATGAAAGGCGAGCACGATACTTTCAACCGCGTCATGCCTAGAGATCACGTCGCCGTGGTAACGTTCCTTGAGAACAGGATGACCGGGTCAAGGATGATCGTCGGCAATGCGCACATATTCTGGGATCCTGCGTTTGAAGATGTCAAAGTGGTTCAAGTCGCGATTCTTCTGGAGCAAATATCGAAGCAAGCGGAAAAGTGGGCAAAGTACCCTCCATGCACCGACAAAGCAGCTTTCCGCCACTCCGAGGTTGATAGCCGAGGCAACCCAGATACTGCAGATGAGCCTGCTCCCGAGCCTAGTGTCTCCCTCGAGTATTCCAGCGGACCTCAGATACCGCTGATAATATGTGGAGATTTTAACGCCGCTGCTGGAAGTGGGGTCTACGATCTCATCACGCGTGGCAGCTTGCCTGGTAATCATCCCGACTTGGGGAATCGGGGGTATGGCAGTCTTACCCGCGAAGGAATGGCTCATCCGTTCAAGCTCAAGTCTGCGTACAGTACGACCGCGGAGCTGAGTTTCACAAATTACACGCCGAGCTTCATCGGGGTCATTGACTACATTTGGTACTCTACCAATGCACTGCAGGTCCGACATCTGCTTGGAAGTGTCGAAGAAGAATATCTGCGGAAGGTGCCAGGATTCCCCAATCACCACTTCCCAAGCG